GCAAAACTGCTGTGTGCTCTTTTTCTTTCATCTCTTCTTAATGGATTAAATAAATATCAAATAAGTTTATAATCTGTACTTTCTTGTATATTTTGATATTGTAAACATAAAGTCTGAAAGCAAATCGAAAAAAGATCGATTTTTGCGAAATCGAGTTATTTTAGACCTCGATTTTTTGAATCGACTCGAATCGATTTAAATATCGGTCTTTTTCGGAACGAATCGCCATCCCTACTACTAAGTTTAGTATAGTAGTACTACAAAAATTTAATTTTAGGTATCCCACAACACCACCAAAGAGCTAGATTGAAAAACAAATTATTAAAAAGTTGTTTTGTCCTTACTAACAGAACACTATTACTTGGTCCTACTATGTTGCTAACTCGAGTAATGATTGCCTCGAGTTGGCAATTCTATAACCCATAACCCAGTAACATTAACTCTTAATTTTAGATATATATATTTTATTGATTCAATTTGTGTGAAATAACTGTGAATATAGAAGTACTTATTAAAACTGTACATCTGTATTCACAGTCATTACCGTTAACCCAAATGACTGCATCTATCTAAAACTTTATGTTCCAAATTATACTGCTTTATAAATAACTACAAGCGCCATCTATTAGTGTGACTTATAAACTAACGTTCAACGCCATTTGTTTGATAAAATTTACATAATTTAAATTATACAATACAATACAAAATTTAAAAATTTAAATAATAAGGTTGATTTTTGTAATATTTACAAAAATTATATATAAGTATAAACATAATATTACGTTCAAATTTAAAGTATAAAAAGGCATAGCTTTTGTGACAGAGTGCGGTTGTTGATTTTTAAATAAAACTTTTATATTGTTTTACCATATAATATATATTGTCGACAATTTCTGCATAAAGCAACTATGTACCTAAATAACCACGAATCTAGTCAGTCTTGTTTTTTTTTATAGTTATACACGCATTATGCAGTTTACAATTATTCATAAACGGAAACGTACATGTGAATCACGTGATGTTGTGATGTTGTGTGTGAGATTATCTCTATTTTATAATTATTTATTACAATATTCAATAACTTTATTTCAGGCATAAAGGACTAAAAAATTAATTATTAGCCTAAGAAGTGGATTGCTACGGCTTAATATAGTTAGAACATCAAAAATAGCGTAATGTTTTCGGGTAGTAGAGCTAGGCACAGCTGAATTTTGGCTGTTTAAAGGTGAACCGCCGAAAAGAGCTAGTATCACGGGTAAAGGACTAATCTCTCACTGAAAATCTGCGTAATTTTTCAGCGTTGCTGCTGTGATTTATATGGTAATTGTTATGAATCGGAAATTATTTTTACCTGGTAAAAAGGCAATCGATATTTATTCTCAGGGAGTAGAATAGAATAGATTCATTTTTAGTCAGCATAGATTATATGGAATACTTATTAAAAGTCATTTTTTTACTTCTAGCACTGATTCGGAAAAGAAACCTCTGTCCTGGGAAGAACCAGCAAGAAACCCAACGAGACTTTTTTTTAAAGCACAGTTTACAATTTTATATTTTATTCAATTGTTATGATAGTAACGACCACCTCATTCCCGGGGGTATTATTACTTATGCACTATTTAATAGTACAATAATATCCCTTACTAAACAATTTTTGCTTAATTAATATTTTAAACCTTTTGATTGATAAGGTCTGCACATTTTCTGGGATTTGTTTTAAATTGCCCATTGCTACATGATGGAATTACTGACTTAATAACCACAAAGGCCAATATTGATATGAAGGAATACCATGAAATGCCATGCACAAATGAATGAATATTATATTCTTCTTTGGAAATGTTTCAAGTTTTATAACTACACCACTTGTCGCACTGGTCTTTGGGAGGATGGTGAATGAATATTTACTTCGGAAATGTTTTTCGAGAGGCAGCTCTGTAATGGTTTTCAATTCACCACTCCTTTAAACCTTGATGCATGTGGAGTTCAGATCGAAAAGTAGATTAAACATTTTTTTTTGATCTAGATCGACAGTAATGGCTCGGCATTTTGGTAAAATATCTAGCCATGTTTTAACAGTTCTTGTTAATTCAGCGTTTCTCCCATAATAAAAAATTCATATATAATAATATATAGTATTCACCTATAATTCCCATTATAGGTGAATACTATAATATATACATAATATAGTATTCTACGGTTTCTCCCTTCAAATATTATTGCTAGGCCCAGCAATAATATTTGAACCTGATGCAGTGATTTCTGCAGTTTTTTATATTTTCTTTGAAAGTATCCATACATCTGGTTGATACATAAAATATTTTAAGCACCCACTTTTAATAAGAAAGCACATTGTAGATCCTGAAGTTGGTAAACAAATGACAATTGAATCGTCGTTGTCGTCGACCAAATGGTCTATGTACACAAAGCGTAAAAAAGTAATTATGCCAAAGTGACACATAAGAGGTCTTAAGGTCGCAACGCCTATGGAATCTTGCTATGGGAGTAATATGCTGAGATTGAAACTATATTTGTTTTTCAGAAGACAGCCATAAGAGCAATTTATAACCTAGGTCCGAAAATATCTGTTAGAGATAAATGTAAAGAAAAATATATTAACTTTGGCTTCCCAATTTATTTACGAAAATTTAATGTACACAAAAACCAAAAGAAGTTTATTAAAAATAGGGATGTGCATTCTGTAAACACTAGAAAGATATTAATTAAGCAAAAATTGTTTAGTAAAGGTTATTCTACCTACTACTAAAGGGTTCATAATTGATAATACCCCTGGGAACCATGGTGTTTCTTAATGTTTTCATAACAGTTGTTTAAACATTATTGTAAATTGTACTTTAAGAAAAAAGTTTCGCTGGGTTTCTTACTGGTTCTTCCCAGAACAGAGGTTTTTTTTCCGAACCAGTAGTAAAACATATAACATATAACTATATTAAATAAAAATGATTCTATTTTATTCCCTGAGAATTAATATCAAATGCCATATTACCGGCCATATTACCATATTATAGGTAAAAAGAGTTTCCGATTCACAACACAGAAGCAATGCTGAAAAATTACGCAAATATTCAGTGAGGGAGTAGTCCTTTACCCTAGCTCTTTTCTGTGGTAGAGCTATATACAGCCAAAATTCAGCTGTGCTTAGCTCTACCACTTGAAAAAATTACGCTCTTTTAAGTGTTCTATCTATATCAAGCCGCAGCAATACACTTTTTAGGCTCACTGGGACATGGCCCTGAAGGATCGATGATCGCTGTACTAGAAATCTTGCACCTTTGAAGGTCTCTACTCTCTTTGTTGTCGACTGAGAATTTTCCAGTATGTTTATACAAGACGGTTACATCGCCATCTATCGCGGAGACTAAGAGATATTTTATTAATTTTAAACAACATAGTTGTCATTATAACATGGGGTCAGGAGAACGATCACTAAATACTAAAGCATAGATTACTGAATATATACTAGTACTGAAGCATAGCACGCCTGTCCTTGAAAATTGTAGAATGTGTAGCGGCGCTGACGTCGGTGAGTAGTAACTGCGAAGTTAGCTGTTTATGAGTACAAGTAGATGAAGTTAGTTGAATAATGAAATAAAAATTTTCATTTCATTTTTAATGAGAAAATTTTCATGCTCCGCAATTTTTTAATTTTTGAAAAAAGAATCATTAAAAAATGGAGAAATATTTTATTGTGCGTGGATGTGCAAGTGGTTTAGCATCTGATCGGAAAAATAGACTCAAAATGACTTTTATTGACCGAACCTCGAGCGATCGCAGCGCCACACTTATGGTGTCCATACTTCTGGACACTATTTTCTACGGTGATCGTTCTCCTTATGGAGTGTTAAAGTAAGGAGTACCAACTCCCATAGTAGAATAGTTGAAAAAGTGGTCATCTGTAAGCAGTAAATAACAGTTCAAAAACTACAAAACTAAAAAACAACAGCGCTGGAGTAGCTACTGGGATGAAATGAACTTAGCAGTTTCGACGGTTTGAAGTGTGCGGCTAAACTGCTCAGTAGCTCTAAAATCTAAAATAATTTTATTTAGTAAATATAACCTCGAAAAAGTCGTCTATCGGACTAATATTTTTCGGTGCGATCTTTAAAATTTACCCCGTAGCTGTATAGTAGCACCACCTTATTTAAAGGATTTTATGGACACTTTTTAATACACAGTCTGTACTCCTTACACTCCATAGTTCTCCTGTTCTCTAACCTTCATGCATGGGATGATCATCATAGACCTATTTTAACTTATATTTTAATGTTTAAATGTTATATAGAGCACGGATAAGCTTGATCAAATTAGTGCTTATTTCTTGTGTTTGCGTTAAGTTTGTGGTATTATATTAATTAATCCATGTGATACTATATATATATATATATATATATATATATATATATATATATATATATATATATCGTTCTCAACAAAAAACCTGGAATAATACGGTTTGTTGTTTTAGTGTAAACGAATGTTATAAAATCAATTCTTACTAAACGCCATCTTTACGATATTTATAAAACCTTTAAATCATTTTCCTTTTCAAAACGTTCATCGCTACAATCTTTAATATATACGCCGCTAGGTGGCGCGTAAACACAAAATTAATTGAAACTTTTCTGTAGATTATCAAGTAATGTTTATTAGTTCATTTTCATTTTAGGTGCTTTTTTATTACTTGCCAACACATTTAATTTCATAATATTATAGTTAAAATAAATTTACACGTGCATCAAATTTTATGGACCTGTAAACATGGAGCAGGTGGAAGCCTACTGTTACGACTTACGATTACGAACTGTCAATTTCATTCAGGAGTCAGTCAGTATTCAGTCACAGTCAGTATTATGGTTACCTCAACAGTTGACGGTTGAGTCGGTCGGCGAAGTGATCGCGGAATCGTTAAATTTAAAATTCGAACAATCGTTATTGGACTTGATGTTTTGACTATCGTTTTTATTGAATTTTAAAACGCTATGCTCGAACAAAGCTGGGACCCGACCTCTGGTAATTTGGAGGAAGAATTTAATAGACCGGTCGAATCCATAATGAGGTGTGAGGATTTTAAGAGTAATTTTGCGAGGAGGCTTTCTAATCGGTATATCCTTAAGTCACCAGTGTCTGGTTCAAGGCAAGACATGCTTTTGAAACTGCAACCAATAAATAACACACGGGATATCCAAAGCCAAGTGAGTATGTTTTTGTCAAGTTTTTGTAATTTCCTGCGTTCTAAATTCTAATGCTACGTAGTAAATAATATATTATATTTTTTGGGTCTCGATTTTTGTTTCATTTTCACAATCAATATTAATTGTGTGGAAATAAGTGAAAGTATTTAAGTGATGTCAATTTTTGGTAAACGTTGTAAAATATTTATATTTTTCATCATAAGATATTGAGTGGTTAGAGGAGATATATGACAAGATATATTTATTAGATAGATAATAAACGATGTGCAAATAAACTATGTTTTAAGATATTGTCGCATTAGGAGTTTTTATCATAATTACTTTCAAATATTCCAATATTTTTATGTAACGGTTGGCTAATATCATATTTTCTAAAATTTATGATGTTAGAAATTTGTTTTGGATGTTTTATATATTCCGTTTTACGTAATAGGAGTATATTTTAAAATCTCAAAAATTAAACATATTTTATTCATAACGTTTCGATTAGTTAATATTCTTGCCAGTTATGTAAGAGCTTATTTGTGTAAAATTTGTATGGCGAAAATTTCGCAAGACCAATTTAAAATATTTTCGGGGAATTAAAACTAGTGTAGATTTAGCATACAGGTAGTTTTAAAAGAACATGTTACTCTTACTCGAGGATAGATGTAGATGTTTATGGTCCTCAACATCCAATTACCATCAGGTTGACTGTGTGCCCGTTTGTCACCGTTATTCTATATAAAAAAATATCATCATTATCGTTACAGCCTCTCAAGTCCACTGCGGACCATAGGCACAGTATATAAAAAAGCGGTCTAGGTGCGACTCCAAAGACCTTCCCAGTGGAAACAATAAGAAAATCATATGTTTTAATATTTTATACAATTTTTCATTCGGCACAAAACACGACTTGACAGATTTTGCTCAAAATTAATTGATGGCAAAATTCCGTTCGAGACTAAACCCGCTCGGGGCAAACGGACCTATAAGTCAAAGGCACCCCTTGCCACGCTATCCGTGAATTTCTGCAACATCAAGGGACTTCATTCAAACCTTAACGCAGTCCACTACCATCTGGAAACGGCGAAGCCGGCCTTGCTCTTTCTAACCGAGACACAGGTGACCTCTCCGGCTGATCCTTTCTATATGTTCTGACACAACTGGTTACCTCGCCTATGCGAATCCCAGATGTGGAAGAACATGTACCTTCCCTGTTGGACCTTCTGCTTACTTCTCATCCGGACGGATATCAGGTCACCGTCGATATCCCTCTTGGCTCCTCGGACCATTGTCTGATCCGGAGTACGGGTCACTCACGCTCTCATCGCGGTTGCGTACTGCAGGTTGCCGCCGTGTTTGGCAATAAAAAGATCGCATCCCGTCCCAATCTGCTGACCTATAAGCAGATTGGGACGGGATGCGATCTTTTTATTTGAATGGAACTTTTTATTCCATCATCTGTGGAACCTATCGGAGGCAGAACCAAACAAAATATCGAGTGACGTGCAGTTTCGTGGTCACTTGGAAGAGAAGGCCAAATTGGCCTCTAAAAAGCTTGGCGTGCTCAGCAGAGCGGGACAGTATTTCATGCCGGCACACCGCCTGCAACTTTACAAGGCGCAGGTTCTGCCGCACATGGAATACTGTTCCCATCTCTGGGCCGGGCCTCCCCAGTGCCAGCTCCTTCCATTTGATCGCATCCAGCGCAGAGCTGTTCGAATCGTCGGTGACCGAGCTCTTTCCGATTGGCTTGACTCACTGGCATTGCGAATAGATGTTGCATTTCTTTGCGTATTTTATCGCATCTACCACGGGGAGTGCTCTGAGGAATTGTTTGGAATAATTCCAGCCGCACAATTTCACCATCTCACATCGCGATAAAACTCGCGATACCATCCATACCTTCTGGATGACTGGCGGTCCACCACCGTGCGATTTAAAAGTTTTCTTCCTCGCACAGCTTCCTTGTGGAATCGACTACCACCAGAGATGTTCAGAGATGTTTCTATATTGTTGATAAAATGAACTAGGAATCACTTAGGGACCTTCAAGAAAAGAACCTACTCCTTTTTAAAAGGCCGGCAACGCATCTGCAATTCCCCTGGTGTTGCAGTTGTTAGTGGGCAGCGGTAATCACCATCAGGTGAGCCGTATGCTCGTTTGCCCTATAAAAAAAAACATAAATGCATACATACATACGTACCTACATGTGCACACATTGACATCCTTTGAAAAACCATACTATTCGACTCTAAAGACCTTGAAACGTGGGGTATTTTAAAATTCCCTATTTGCAAAATCGGACCCATTACAATCACAAAAGGGGTTCCGTATATTATAATTATCACTGGAAAGTTAATAAGCCTATAGCACAGTATAGATAATATGTTCCATATTTATACCGTGCCATAGGCTTCTCCCAACACGGTGCTGTGTTACCCGCCTTCTTTAACTTTGTGTTGCTAGATCAAGAAGAAGAAGAAACATGGTTTAATATAGTATAGTCACAGTTTAGCTTTGATAGGGTTTTGTAACGCGGACCAGATGTAACAAGGTTTGCCACCCGTGCTATTAATAAATAGTATCGAACTATATATAAGTGAATTGTACAATATAGTGTAGAAAAATAATATAGTACGAAAAATACTGTATTTTTATCCCCAATTTAATTTTCGCTTTTTTATATTAACTGTATAACGGAAATATATTTTTCCGTTATGAATGTAAAATTGACAGAAAAGAAAAAAATAGAGCATGTACCTATTACGTAATTTAATTAAAAATTAATTGGTAATTTATTTTAATATGAATCTAAATTGCTCCTATAATTATTTTAAAGATATTAAGATCATTTAAGGCCAAAGCAAAGAGCAATAAAAAAATATATGGAAAATACATAAAGATTAAAAATAAATTTGTAATTTTTTTGGGAAAAATACTATATTTAAAAAAAGGAATGGTGTCAACCCAAGTAGCCGCCAGAAAGCAAGCTGTTCTTTTACCCATACGACGAAAATTTTCGATGGAAGATAAGAATATAATTGAATAATTATAATATAGATTACAAGTAATTTATAATTAAAGTCATTTTTACCTCGCATTTTACAAGGTTTATATAATAAAAATATCCTAACAATACGTCTCATTTCATCTAGTATTCCTGAAAATCTTAACCTGTAAAGTGGAACAAGCTACACATGTGTATCAGACATAGACATCTTTCCGCTCGCTCGATCAAGATACACATGTGTACCACAAGTACTACCCTTTGAAAAAAAAATTTTTTTAATTAAAACAAAACCAACTAGTATTGCTACTGATGATGAAACCGGACGTGGTCCTGCACCTATAGTTGTATAGGGAAGCTAGCAAGCTGCGGTAAGGGTTACACGATCGGAGTTTCTATACGCGATAGAATACGCATCGAGGATATGCGCAGTAGGATCAGTAGGATCAAAGTTTGACGACTTCGGGGCGTAGTGACTTAGCAATAGGCTGCAGCGCTGAGGGACGCGAGTTCGATTTCCGCACGGAAGAAATATTTGTTTTTTACATATAAATAATCGTTCCGGGTAAACTGCCTCTATGGTACAGGAGAAAATCCTAGTGTGGGGTAACGTTTCAAAAATTTAAAAAATAACTGACACAACCCATCAGAATATTAAATTTGGTATCAGTAACCACGTGTAGTGGCGGTTGAGAATATTCACTACCCCATATCTTCCCGTGGGTGTCGTAAGAGGTGACAGAGGGAGACAGGCAGGAGATGGGCAGCAGCATCTTCCTGATAGCAACACAAAATTATAAAAAATTGCGGTTGCCAACCCGCTTGCCAAGCGTGGCAATTATGGCAAAATCCCTCGTATGAGGCAATCTACGGGTTTTACTGGCTTTTACTTTTAAAGGCTCTAATTGATGGAATTTATAGGGATCAGTAGCTATAGTAGGTCGGGATACTTCGGGGTAAACCATTCAACCAAGCTGACTAAAAAAATGGTCCCTCCGAGCACTTGCCCAGCGCAACGTTGCACTTACAATAATACAATGTACAAAAATATCACAAGCCCGACAACCGTTGGGGAAGAAAAATTTTTGAGCAGTCTAGTGCCGACTTCCAACGAGATAGTGGATGACAACCTCGTAAAATTTGTGGAAAACCGATGAATGCAGGTGATCACTTAACCCTGTGTGCTTGACATTGTCGTCGCCTATAATAACGATGGTAGTGAACCTGATATATTTTCGTTTTAAAAAAAATGTTCTGTGATGGTATCGAGCTGTCTATAACGGAGTGGAAGTCGAAGTAGATACGAGCCGGTCCAACGTACCTTACATCCAATCTAAAATAGTGGGTATATTTATACGTGGTAGAGCTACGCTGCAGCTATATTATAGTTGTAGCACGAATGCGTCAGCTCGACCGGGGAAGGACCACGCTCTCACAGAATACCAGCGTGAAGTAGCAGCTTAAGGGGAAATATAATCTCAAATGGCTTAGCAGGATCCTTCGTTATGCCGAAAATATTGCAGCATTAATTTTGAAATAAATATATGGTAAAGTTGAGGATTAATGTTAAGGATTATGTTAGACGAAAACACGATTTCGTAAAATTTTTTCGATAGAAAAAATCCAAAGTTACCTCCAAAATAAACAATAAACCGCTGTTATTCATAAAATACTTGAAATATGATCATGAAGCTTTGCATACTAACTGAACTAATTATAAAGCAGTGCTTATGTTATTTACTTTTTTTAAAATACCATTATTTTCACTGTAAAAAAGAAATTACCTAAACTATCGACCTCTTGAAGCGTGATTCCTGCCGCCCGATCACTTCGCTTCGGCCTTTGAAGGGGGAGGATGTGTCGCTTACAATCAGAATACACATTACGCAACAGAACGACGTAAAATTAAAATGGGAAATAACCGTAATAAAAATAAGAAGCGACTGGCTTGGCGTTAAGAAACAGGCATAAATATGATAAATCTAATGAAATAAGTGTCTTAACGACC